GGTAAAAACCGGGTTGGGTTATCGGAATGACACTTGGCGTTACAGTTTAACGAGGTTACGCGTCAGGCTTAACAGTCTATTTTCCGATCGCTTCTTGCTATACACAGTACATACAAACGGATCGAATGTCTGTGAGATAAAACGATTTACGCGGGAGCACAAAGATTTCTTTCACGTAAAATTTACTGAATCATACTTTTATTTTATTTAACTGATCGTTTTTTTCTTATAATTGGTCTCTATCTATCTCATTGTCAGCTAGATACGTCTATATACCAAGGAATGGAAGTAACTTGTTACTTGTAAACGAAGTTACAGTTACAAGTTACTTTTTTGGTAACTTTACTGGTAACTGTGTTACTTTTTTTCTTTGATAACTGTAACGGTAACAAAGTTGCATTTTTTTGATAACGGTAACGAATTTTACAGTTACTCTTATCATTTCTTTGCACATGATTGAAGACAAGCCACTTATACTGTAACAAAATTTCTTTGCACATATAATAGATGTAAAACAGATTATATGATTTTTAGTCCTGTATATATATAAAAAAAAATCATGCAATTTTACAGAAATTATCCACAAAACTTATGTAAATTTTATTGTGTAAATATATCTTATTTTATGTTGAAAATTATGTAAATAGCAGGATATTTTGAATATTTTCTGTAATATTACTAAAATTTTAATAATATTACGTAATATAAGAGAAAGTTTTGCCGTATTGCTGTTAAATATATAATAATATATAGTGCGAAATGTATTGTCATATTATCGTTTCTGTAACTACACATACACATTATAATTGTACTTCCACTGCTTAGTTACAAACCAAGAAATTATTTTTACTTGCATATTGCAAATTTACAAACGTGTAGACGTTTGCAACTATTATAATGGGTCTCAAAACTATTATCTACTATAATAAGTTATAATTTTACGCAACATTTTTTTACAGTGCATAGCGCTTGAGACTAAAGAAGCCCCTAAGCCCGTCCACTGTAATTGGCGGTCGTAGATTAAAAAAAAAATCACGGAAAAGTAAGGAAAAGTTACAAAATATAAATAATAAAGATCATACAGCCACAACAATAGATGTTAAAACAAGTCATATATTTAAAATTCGCAAATAAATAAGTAGCTTTTTTTTCTATAATTTCACATTGGTATTCATAAGTTTTATGCATTTCTTCAAAAGAAGACAAGTTTTTTAATCCAAAAGTTACTCTAATAAAATAAAAAAACGGCAAATTAAAACACATAATAATGTTCGTGTAAAAATAAATGTAAAATGTTTGAAGGTGGCTAAACAATTACAAAATATAAACGAAAAGTTACTTTCTCAAGTAACAGTAATTTGTTACTTTTCTACTTGGTAACAAGTAACTGTAACTTGTTACTTTTAAAAAGTAACTTTCCATTCTCTGCTACAATATATACATATAATACAATCTAGAAATATCAGATAGGACGGTATCGTTAATATAAAGCACATTGCTCCGAATAACGTTTTAACAATGCAGTTTTGCTAATGCAGTGGAGCATTGTACATCGTCAAATATAATAAGAAGATCACTAACTTATTTGTGCTTATTACGGATATTATATTTAAACATACATAATTATGTACAACTAACATTTTCCCGATCGTCACGCGTTCGTTTTTTTGAGAATGTATGTACATTCCGTTCGAGCACACGAATGAATATCTTTATTTTATTTGAGAAAACAAAGAGGAAATTAAAAAGAGCAAAGGAGTAAGTCAGAGGGGACTCGAAAGAAACGAAGAATCATCGCTGGATTGTCCCTTTTAATTGGCTTAGCTCTGCCAGCCACGCACTCTTTCGTTCTCATTCTCGTCTTCAGATCCGACAGACACAAGCATGTCCTCTTAATTGTCGACGAGAATTGTGCCTGTCAAGCGCGAAAAACGAGTTTCGAGCAGGTTCGGACTGTTCGCAGACCGCGCGTGAGAGAATTAAGGAGCAAAGCTACGTTATCCTGCTTATCCGCGTCGCACATCGACTGCACATCGACTGTACTGTGTGCCGAGTGAAATGTCGTTCGAATCGTTCGAAACTGTTCGAAACCAACGCAAAATCATCATGAGACGTAATTAAAACAGACCGCAGTCTGTAATTCTTTTATAATAGCTTCAAGAAAGGTCGCCGTGTACTTTCACACACGGACCGTCCGTACGAGCTACGCGTCTGCACACAGTGTTACTTTCTGCGTGAATTTAATCAGCGAATTATCGTCGACGCGCAAACGAGCCGGTTGAAACCTTGCGGATACTTTCGTTAAAGTCAATGGAAAAGAGATAATTACGACTCGGCCGTAATAGCTAGCAGTTTCTAAAAACAATTCTAATTACTTCAATTTTTACGTGCGTTCTTGTTCTTACATTGTTCTTATTAAATAATTCATACTTCTCGTATCTATAAAAATAATAAATATATAACATATTCGTGTAAAATTAAAAATAAATTTTAATACTGTCAAGTATTATCTTATCTTTTGCGTAATAAGATTTGTCTGACTGGATTCAATTCTAAATTTGTTTCGCAAATGTGAGGTTTATTGAGCTCTCGTATAATTATATATCAGGGATTCAGTTTTCTTTGGAAGAAAAAATATAAAATTTTCCATATTCCATTTATTAGAAATTCTTCATGTTTGTATCATGGTAAAATATATATTACGAGTTATCTATACTAGCGATTGTTACATACGAATGGAAAGTAAAAGGCGATAGCACGACATACGCGTTGTGCCGGTAAAGAATGAGAGAACTGATGACAAAGTTTCGGGAGCACTGAGCGCTGATGGACCACGTCACATCTCGAACCTGATCTTGGGACAAATCGGCAAAGCGGCGCTTTGTTACGCAACGACTGGTGCTGGAATATAAATCAATATTTTATTGGCACATAGAAATACGCGAGAGATCAGTACTAAGAGTACTATATATACAATTTTCATCGATCCGCAAAAAAAGATGACCTTTTAAAAAGGCGAATAATTTGCAAACATGTATACTTTTTATTATATTTTGCAACTTGTTCGGCGTCGATCGTTTTCCTTTTTTTTTTTTAGATTTAATTTTTCCAATGTAAACGAATAGTTCTAGATTTACTTTTCAGACGTGCATATAGATTAGCGGTGAATGTAAAATGAGAAAGACACTGTTCCAGCTCTTACTCATGTGCGTGAAGCTCGGCTGCGCACCGATTACCAGCGTCTTTCTTTGCGACGAAAACGTTGTGGGAACTATACTTATAGATATGTGGTTTTCATTAGCTCTTGGCTGATTAAATTCCTCAGCGTTTTGTCTATTATCGTTGATACGTCCGGGTGAAATACCTTAAATATATTATTATGTTTGTGCAGATTATCCAACTATATGTACCGCGGTATTATCTGGTTTCGGAGTAAATAACAATAAATTCTTTTTAGCACGAAGAATTTAGAATGTAGACTGTATGATCGTTTTGCCAATAAAAAGACAACAATATTACAAATATACGTATATTTGTCGAATCTTCTACTTAAAAAGTTTCGATACCCGTGTATCCCAAACAAACTCGATGCATTTAAACATTTATGCTTACCACAAAAATAACAGAAACAACGAGTAAAGCACTGCCTAGCCAAAAGTACCAGGATGCTTCTAAAGGATGACGTGGCGCTCGCCGTTGCACTATGGAACGACGCTGCAAATTATAGCAGCGATGTAGATCATGCGGACGATATCGGCTGTGCATACGTATAACTTAAACGCATTAATGTAACTGTTGTTTCCAAGTTCGAAGCCGTTTCTATGTTCATAAAAGATTAGTGCCATATCTATCCCTCGACATTAGCACAGTGGTTTTCCCTGCTGTAGCATGCAAGATGATTAAAAATTTATCGCTCGATCTTATTGGCGACTGTTCACTGCTCAAGTTTCCGTAACAAAGCGTCTGACCATAATTACATTTACGTTTGACGTAGCGGATGCGCAACAACAGTTCGATCAAGTCGTATTGTGATTGTAAATATTCTGAAAAACTTACAAAATTATTTTGATGGTCTTTCTCTCTCGCGTTAACGTCACGTTTCATTTACTAAATTAATATTATGACACGTGACGTATATCGCATACAAATTTTCTTAGTAACTCATCCTCACAGAAAGTGCTCACTTGTTCAGTTTTATAAAAAATAAAATTACGCGAAACATAGTAGGATATTCGACAGTAGACTTGGTGTTCGACTATCTGGTGTTGACTGGACTGGACAGGCACAAAATAATCGATAGAACAAATGCGGTATGTAGGTACGTTATTCAAGCGCCAAAGCTTAATCGATCGATACGATAAGTGACCGAGCGAAACGCACGTTATAATTGACACGTCATGCTCCATAACGTCCAGCGATATTACACAGTTAACTGATTAAGATATTATATAATACCCAATTAATTACTTAATTTTCTTACTACTATGCTAATCGCTATAATATGAACAAGTTGATTTAAGAACAATGAAGAAATCAGTTTCATAAAAAAGCTGATTTTTTAACCAAAGTATCGTAGATCTCTTGATTCATAATAATACATTTGTTGACAATAATTGTAAAACAAAATTGAATCGTTTATCATTTGTGTTCACACAAAGTATAAATATAAGTCACGAATATAGTATTAATATTGATTGCCATCATGTGGCGGTGGTGGTGGCGGTGGTCCTCTTGGTGGGAAGGGTGGTCGGAATTGGGGTGGTGGCGGCGGCGGTGGGCCACCTTGCGAAACGGGCGGCGGTGGCGGATGTCGCCAAGCTGGAGGTGGTCTTGGCGGCGTAGGCTGATACTGCCCGAACTGTGGAGGACCACCGCTGGAAGATGGTGGAGGAGGCGGTGGAAATTGTCCCTGTGGCGGCGCCCCGACAGCCCAATGTGGTGGTGGTGGTGCCATCATCCTAGAGGCAGCTGACTGCGCCTGAGAAGTCGGCACCGGCATAGGCGGCAACGGCGGTGGCATCCCGGGTGGTAGAGGAGGATGCGTCATGGACATTGGAGGAAGAGGAGGCGGAGGGATGTTCGCTGGTGGAAATCCACCAGACGGTGGCGGTGGGACAGGGGGCGGAGGTGGATGACCCATCGGTGGTCCAGGAGTAGACGGTGGTGGTGGCGGTGGCACGACCATTCCATGATGCATCACATGATGCTGAGGATGATGAGCAGATTGATGGGTATTCGCGTTTGAATTTGGCATAGGTGGCGGCGCCAAAGGTGGCGCATCCGCAAATAATTGATGCGGTCTGTCCGCTTGACTCAGAGGATTTTGAGCCGCTAAAAGTCTTTCGGCAGCACTACCGTGTCTCTCGCCCTTGGCATCGCGTTTAAAAGCATACGATACCGAAATTGGCCGATTGCACAGATATTGACCGTTCATTGCCTCAATGCTGGCATCTGAGGCATCAAAAGAAGCGAAATTAATGAAAGCAAAGCCTTTCGAGTTACCTGTCTCGGGATCCCTCATTATCTGTAATATAAAATTATTTCGTTATATAGCAGTCAAAAAAAAAAGCAGTCTCGATTGTAATAAAATTAATTAAACGTACTTTTGGTGTTTGCAAAATCACGCCAAACGCACTAAATGTGTCGTATAACAATTTTTCATCTACTTCTGGATCAAGATTTCCTATAAATATATTTGCTCCAACATCCAAGTTCTTCTGGTGTGCACTAGCCTTGTTTACACGAATAGGTTTGCCGTAAAGTTTAATCATATTCATGATTTTAATAGCATAATCTGCATCTTCTTCTCCCATAAATTCAACGAAACCATATCCTTGATGCATTTGAGTTACTCTATCTTTCGGCATGTGTACATTAACTGAAAAGAAATTATATATTTACATATATACAGTTAAACTTGTATTTTAAACTTAAAAAATTTAGTTATATCATATAAACATCCATTTTCACTCGTAAATAATTAAACCGAGAGTTTGTTTCATGTATATATATATATATATATATATATATATATATATATATATAATATACAGGATGTTTAATAAATAACAATACTTGAGAAAACTCTTGCATAATAGTAGAGCAGGCTAAATTGAGTCGAAAACGGAAAGTCCTCTAGCATTTTACAATTTTGGTAATAATTAATACGATATTAATTAATAAAATCGAATATTGATTTTTAATAATTTTTTTACTAAATTAAGAGAGACTGTGTGTGTGGGGCCGGTTGTCAGTTTTTGATTTGATTTAAAAAAAAAAAGTGGATGGTCGATTTTGAAATATTATATATATCTACATCCTTAAGGTATTAAACAAAATATTACTCGTGAATTCACCATATCGTAAAAATAAGAAAAAAATTTAAATAATATTTAATTTTAAATTAAGTTGCGAAAATGTCACAATTAACCCCGTGTTCTGGTTCATTGTCATATATTCTAAGATTGATAGTAGCATTTGTTATAGACAACACATATAAAAAATTCAATTTTTATTTTAATATCAGTTCCATATTTTAAGAAATAATAGTAATTATAGTAATAATATAAGTAAAAAATAGTTCTAATAATAGTAAATAATAGTAAATAAGAGTAATTAGGAATCTGCGCTGTTATAGGTGCGCTTAAATTACTGGACAAACCTAGTCTACTTGAACATACAATTTCCATTAGTGTAACATGTATGTTTCAGCTAAATTGCTAAAAGCTAACTTCCAGATAAAATTGTATTACAAAAATGTTACATATAACTAAGAATAATGTAAATTTGTTGATGATGTAAAATCGAATTAGACAACAGTTTTGACGGTTGCAAGTCACATGTTAAAAATGAAATATATTCAAATAGACTGAGGTTTGGTCTAGTAATTTAAGCGCACCTATGACAGCGCAAATTCCTAATTGCCTTTATTTAATTACTATTATTATTATTTTATTATAAGGAATCTTACTACAACTTTTTTATATATTTTTTAAAAATAGTTATTTTAATTATAAAATACATTTGTTTTTGATATTAAAATTGTCACCTAACCTCGTCTCATTTTGATCAATCTACCTCATATAGTTATTTTTAATAAAAGAAATTGTATTCACAAACTTTGTTAGGATAATGATAAATTAATTGTAGCAAAAATTCTTCAAAAACAAAGACATGTCATTTTCTATAAATACAGGGATATCGTAATTAATGATGCTAAAGATTCGTTAGACAACAAAATAGATGATAAGAAAAATTTACTCATCAATTTAATTTTCTTAGAAATACTATAAATAATATATGCAATAGTTGTGATGCAAATCATTTTACACAACAAATTAATATTATATCAGTAATCTACAGTAAAAAAAATTTTCTGCCATGTCTTGTTCGAGTTATAAGTATTTTGACAATCAACCTTGTACGACCCGGTCCCGGTCTCCCCTACTATCAACTTTATGGAAAAATAGCAAGTAGTAAAAATTGTTTATTTACTTCTCATAGAATTCTGAGAATTTTTCAGAATTTTTAGTAGCGCATTTTCTCATGTTGGTAAAAATAGTTGCCAATAAAAAAATACAGTACTAAAAAATTGACAAAAAATTCTAAAAAAAATTTTAGGCCGCTATAAGAAGAAAATAAGTAATTTTTGTCTTGTAATGTTTTTGGTTAAAAATGATTAAAAAATATTTGGTGATTTTTAGTAATTGATATCTTGTTAACTATTGCAAAAACTGCAAAATGATAGAAAATTTTTTGACTTAATTTCATCCACCCTATGCAAGAGTTTTATCGTTACTTATCAAACATCCTGTATATTTTACGAAAATATTAAAGGTATATATACATAGTCAAATCTACAGTGCCATATAAATCATCAGTTACCATCATAAATTAAAAAAAAACTCAAATTGACATATAACACATATGCTTACCAACAGGTCCTGATTGAACAAATAATTCCCACATAAGGGATTCTGTGACTTTGTCATCCAAACCTCCAACGTATATTGTTGCATCTATATAAATTTTCATATCAAAGATGTAATAAATATAAAAATTAATTTATTATGCATATGAATATTCATGACATAAATTCTCTAGCTAAGTACTTAATAACATAAAATACATTTGTAAGGTTAACTTTAATATCAAGTGACTAATCTAATTTGTAATGTGACGACAAGATAAATATAATCGAAGCATTTCTCTCTTTTTATAAATTCTTTTTGGAACAAGAGGTTATATAAAAATTATTTAAGCTAAATTATTTAAACTGAAAAATCGTATCACATACCTTGGTTACGCTCCGCAATTGGACCGGCTGCCATAATTACCAATATTTACTCGAGAATTACTGACAAATTAATGGTTGCATTTAATAAATATTACTAATTAGTAAACTTACTTAAGTATACCCCAATCAACCCCAATCAATTGTTATCAATCGTTATTTAAACTGTGTTCGAAGAGAGAAAGAGAAGGAGATGGAAAAGATATCTACATATTACTAGAATTACTGTTCCAAAACTCTATTTTAGCTGACCCTCTAATCTATACTGCCTATTTTACAATAAGGTTGCAAGTCGTCACCATAAGAAATTGACCAATCACATTTAAATATGACAAAAATAATTAATTACGATTTATTAATTTCTCATTGCTTACAGTTTGCGAACTTATTGTAGGGCAGACTTAAAGCATAATCTACAATGGTGCATCCAGAAGCACGATTGCTCACTGGCCTAATTTCCACCGAAGGTTTAATCCGGATCAGAATGTAAGAACCAACCAACTACAGTTGAGCATTCCCCTGTCGTTCGACTGTAGTTGGTTGGTTCTTACA